TTATGGAAGTCCAAAATGTTTTTGTGTCTTTAGTCATGTCAGCCGCCATTATAATATCATTCCATTTTTTATTGTTTGCTTCCTTACATGCGTCTCTTAATTTTATCTGTAGTGCTATCTGTGTCGTATATAGCCATCTGTTACTGCCGTGTCTTTCCATATACCTGTTTATTTCATTGTAATAGGTCTGGATTAATTTAGCTTCTTCTGGTAGTCTGTTGTTGGGTAATGTTCTAAAGTGTGAAGTAGGAGTGTGTTTGGTTATAGATGTTTTTATTGCTGAGTGCAGTCTGTCCATTTCTGAGTCTATATCTTCTGTTGTTTTCCCTTGTAGGTTAATCGAGTGGTGATTACTTAAGTCGTCTTTAGGCTGTCCCAGTCTGTTTCTACTCATTTTCAGTCTCTTTTATTGGTATCTGTATGGGGCTTTGTTGACGGTGTTAGTATAATTGGCAGATGGTCACTGCCTGTAAGAAGATCCTATATTATATGAGTAATTGAAAAAGGCTTTGTTGTTGGTAAAAATTTTGTCTGGTGTCGATTGTGTATTGTGATTTCTCCAGGTTGGAAAGTTAGGACCCAGATGATTGATTTCCCTAAATTTATTAATTGATTAAGGGCGTTTCCCACGACGTTATTATTTGTATTGTCAAAAATCCTATGTCTGGCGTTAAAGTCTCCTAAGATGTACATCGGATGACTATTGTTAGCCAATTTTAATAGGTCTTCTATAGGTAAGTAGGGTCGTCTCGGTGGGAGATAAGTAGTAGCAATAATTACGTCTCCTTGAGTTGTATTTATTTTTATTGCTAGAAATTCATCCTGGAAGTCATCAATTAGTTTAAATTTTAAGTTTCTTTTTACCGCTATCGCTACTCCGTCATTTTTCTCGCCCGATTTATTTCTTTGGTTTACATAATAGGTAAAGAGTTTTATGTTGTTGTTTTCTGTCTCACCGTGACTGTTTATTAGTATAATGTCAGGGTCAATTTCTTGATATATATTACTTAGGTTAATTCTGTCGGTCTTCCAGTTTCTTACGTTGTGTTGTATTATTCTTAAAGTTCTTACTGTTTGTCTATTGTCCATTATTTCTTATACTTGGATTGTAACTGTTGAAGTGGAGACCTATCATCCTGTTTCCCGCTTCTGACTCTTCTAAACTCTGACGGGTCTACTATTTTAAAGTCATTGGTCGTAATCTTTAGTTTGTCCGTAGTAATTAGTGACCAGACATAATCTTCACTTAGGGATTTTTCTTGATATGTCCACTTGTATATCCCTCCTTCACAGTTTTTTACTATTGTCCCTCCTGTTGGTCTCGATGTTGGGATTCCATGTTTTGTTGTAGTGATAACTTTTAATCCAATATCTTCAGCAGATTCAGGTTGTATATTGTGATCAGTTTCCATCTTATCTTCTCTCCTCCTACTCCTTTGTCTTATAGTCTGTCCTTTTGTTATTTCTATCTTCTCTTTGTCACTTCTAGTCATTTGTCTGGGATCTCTATCAGTCGCTTGTGTTCCTTGTGTATCAGCTGTTGCTCCTTGCTCAAACCTTTGTTTGTCTAGCTGTAGTCTTTCTCTCAGTTCGCTTGCATATGTTGCCTGAAATAGTTTTTCGGATTGTGGATTCTCTGGAAATATCATCTCTGGTAGGCTATTCAATTTAAACATTTTCCTTAATTCCTCATTGTATGATCCGGGTGCAATGATATTGTGCAAATGTGCATGGATCATACTAATCATTACCTTGTCATGTATTGGCTCACTTAGGTTTAATATGGTGGATTCTGGTCTATGAGCCTCTTGGACCGCTCTCTTGGCTATTTCGACGTATGTCGTATCCTTCTTGTCTTGTTCCTTTTTCCTTGTTTCTTGTTCCTTGTACTTTATCATGTGTTTTTTTATTGGGCATGCCATTGCTAACGTCCTATGTCCTATGTATGCATTCCCGTTTCTCTTACAGTTGAGACAGCCAACATGTGTATTCTTACATTCAGTGTAGGTATGGTCGTCGCCTGCACAATCTGAGCAGTACTTTTTTCTTTTTCCGGACAGTCTCTCGTTGTGTGTTCTTCATATTTGTAGCAGGAGAAGCAAGTTTGCAGACTGATGAATGTCTCCTTCTTTATTTGATGTGGTGTGACTGACATGTTGAATATTAGAAAGCCCTGTTGTAAAACTTTCTCAGCCATTGACACTTCTTCAAAAGTAATCTTAAAAACATGAGTATAGTCTTTTATCTTAATGACTTCTTCAATCTTCATCCACCTGTTTTGGCGTTCCAGTTCATCTTTCAGGTCTTCAGATGTCTTCCTCCCGATCTCTTGGTCGACTTGACGAACGAAAACTGATCTTTTTGCTTTTTGTTCTGGTGGCATGACAACAACAAGGCCTTCATTGTAAAATATATCTCTGGCTTCTTTTGAAAGGATTTTATCTGAATCAAAGTCATCTTTACAGATTACTTTAAAACCTTCATTGGTGCTGAATATTCTTGTTAGTGGGACTTGCAATTTGTTGTAAGTGATTTCTGCCACTTTTCCCCTTCCAATAGAGTGTCCCTTATCTCTATGTTTTATTCTAATGCTTGTTGTCATCTTCTTGATTACATCTAATCCTACCTATAACACAGGGCTCCTGCCTGGGAGCAGTGACCCCGCCCCCCCCTCTTGGACGGGCGTCGGGCTCGTAGGGTTCTGCACCCAGGTTACCTGTGACTATAGTTATATCTAAGAAAGTTGCCACCTACCGGTGACCCCCGGACAAGGGGTGCCCTGCACTATCACAGGTTCCCTTGCCGGATCGACCGTATCGCTAAGTCCCGCCTCCCGTTCAAAGAACGGAGTGCATGAGGGGGATGAAAAAAGGAAAGAAGAGGACTTAGAGAGTAGAAACAGCCTACCTACCACGCCACGTTCGGTTAGCCAATCAGAGCACCGCAGTAAACGTGCATGTATCACGCCACCGTGGGGCACCACTGATTGGCCAATCCAGGACGTAGACGCACGGGTAGTAGTCAAAATTTGGGGAGCCCAAATATTTGTTTTCCAGAAGTTGGAATTTCCCGTACAATCTGTGATGGTAATTACACCGTCACTATGTTGAGTAAGTACAATCACTAGGATTGAGTGTCTTATCACAACAAAGTTGCAGACTGCTCAAACATGCAGCAAAAGAGGCAGGTCTTCGCAGCTCCGGGTCCAGCAGTCATAAGGCAGTGACCCTTACTAATCTATTTATATAAAACAATGAAGTATGTCTGTGTGTTTGTGTGTCCGCACGAGAAACTCGGAAACTACTTTACCTATCTCTAGTGAAGATGGATGGTGTTATATGTAGTGATGATGGATGGTGTTATATGTAGTGATGATGGATGGTGTTATATGTAGTGATGATGGATGGTGTTATATGTAGTGATGATGGATGATGTTATATGTAGTGATGATGGATGATGTTATATGTAGTAATGATGGATGGTGTTATATGTAGTGATGATGGATGATGTTATATGTAGTGATGATGGATGGTGTTATATGTAGTGATGATGGATGATGTTATATGTATATATGTAGTGATGATGGATGGTGTTATATGTAGTGATGATGGATGGTGTTATATGTAGTGATGATGGATGGTGTTATATGTAGTGATGATGGATGGTGTTATATGTAGTGATGATGGATGGTGTTATATGTAGTGATGATGGATGGTGTTATATGTAGTGATGATGATGTTATATGAGTGATGATGGATGGTGTTATATGTAGTGATGATGGATGGTGTTATATGTAGTGATGATGGATGGTGTTATATGTAGTGATGATGGATGTGTTATATGTAGTGATGATGGATGTGATGATGGATATATGTAGTGATGATGCATGGTGTTATATGTAGTGATGATGGATGGTGTTATATGTAGTGATGATGGATGATGTTATATGTAGTGATGATGGATGGTGTTATATGTAGTGATGATGGATGATGTTATATGTAGTGATGATGGATGGTGTTATATGTAGTGATGATGGATGATGTTATATGTAGTGGTGATGGATGGTGTTATATGTAGTGATGATGGATGATGTTATATGTAGTGATGATGGATGGTGTTATATGTAGTGATGATGGATGGTGTTATATGTAGTGGTGGTGGTGACGGTGGTAGTGACAGTGGTAATGGTGGTGATGGTGATAGCGGCAGGTTTGTGGTGATAGTGGTGGTGGTAGAGACTGGTTGATAGTAGTGGTAATGATGGTGGTGGTAATGATGATGGTGGTAGTAGTGGTGGTAGTGATGATGGTGGTAGTAATGATGGTAGTGATGGTGGTGCTATATGTAGTGAGGATGGATGGTGTTATATGTACGTAATGATGATGGATGGTGTTATATGTAGTGATGACGGATGATGTTATATGTAGTGATGATGGGTGGTGTTATATGTAGTGTTGATTAGACAATAAAATAATAACAGTTTAATGCTAAAAAAACATACTTTGCTGTACAGTTGTAGTGAAAAACATGGTGGAATTTACATACACCGTTAATTATCGGTCCCAATCTCACGAAATACTGGTCTTCAGATTTTTTTTTCCGCTCAACGTTGGGAACCACTGTCCTTGGGGATGGTCATGCACTTTCTCACGTTCCTCCATCCGGGCGAAGCCGGATAACTCAGGGTGACGAAAAATTCATCATAAGCTGTGTTGTTAAGGAATAAAGGAGGCGTGTTGGCCACAGGTACAGTACTGCGCATGGTGAGAATGAGTTTAGGTCATAGGATGTGGGTGACAATTTTGATGAGTCAGTAAGCAAGGCGAGGTGTTGTGCGGGGGTGAGACTGTACAGCCAAATATGACAAGTGGGGGACCCAAGACCACATAGAAGGGCTAGGAACCATAATTTTGTTCACCTGTAAAACCCAAGAAAGTTTATATTGTTGTGGTTGTGATTACTAAGTGCCCGGACAGTGACACCAGCTCCTCGCCCACCAGGTGGAGATGCTGATCAGCGAATCGTGTAATATATTCCCTCGACCATACTTTACGTTCACGGACAAACTCGAGTTCAATGACGCTGCCGGACTCTGCCAGGCCTTCGGAGGAGAGCTAACGACACCCAAGGATGCCCAGCAGCAGGAGGTAATGTATGAAAGGGGCCGGGATGTTAGCTCCCTTAGCAGATATACATGTAAATTTAGCCTCACTTCTTTGATGACCTCACCAAAAAATTTGTAACTTCGAAAACTTCATGACTTACCTCACGCCGTATGCATTGTCTAATTTGTGTGAGAATATATAAAGAATGTTATTAGTAAGCATTTGTTTCAATTGGTCAATGGTCTAAAAAAAATCATCAAGTACAAGGAAGGGAAGGAGGGAGGCAACGATGTGTGGGTTGTTACAGGTGGTGTACAAAATGGCCCAGGAGACCATCAAAATATGTTCGAGTGAGGGCGGCCCACTCATGTGGCTTGGCATCACGGACCAGCACTCGGAAGGCAACTGGCACTATCTTCGCTCCAATACCGACGTGAGTCACCTGCTAGGATCTGCCGTGTATTTTTACACGTTAGTTTTTTATCTTAAAATATTGTGTGCACGCGCACGTGTGTGTGTGTGTGTGTGTGTATATATGTGTGTGTGTGTGTATATATGTGTGTGTGTGTATATATATATATGTGTGTGTGTGTGTGTGACGTCATGCCTTTTTCATCTTTGCATATGCCCCAACGCTGGATGCAGAGGATAACATCAAGGAGACCTTTTATGCCAACCTTGACACAGTGCTAACCTCGATCTCCAGAGAAGATAAGTTTGTGCTCCTTGGTGACTTCAATGCCAGAGTTGGCAGAGATGCTGACATTTGCCAGGGAATCATAGGGAGAAATGAACTAGGCAAGTGTAATCCCAACGTCCTACTCCTTTTCGACAAGTGTGCTACACACAACCTCATTGTCACCAATACCTTTTTAAGGCAGGCCGACAAGTGCAAGGGTTCGTGGCAACACCCACGATACAAACACTGGCATCTCATTGACTACATCACTGTAAAGAAAGAGATCGAGAAGATGTCCTCATCACCCGAGCAATGCTTGGCTCAGACCACTGTGACACTGATCATCGGCTCGTCAGAGCCCCAAAACGGCGAAGGCAACAATCCTCCAGAAGAGGATTTAACACTCAGCATCTAGATGATCCAGTGTTAGCACATGCTTTCAAAGAGCAGCTCGAACATGGGCTGAAAAACAACCCGACAACAAACAACCCAAATCTCAGTGCCGAATGGGGTATTCTCGACACTGTCATGACAAAAACCTGCAGAGAGAGACCCTCGGCCAGATCGAAAGAATACACAAGGACCGACTTGATGAAAATGACCCGGAAATCGATGAACTCGTCAATAATACCGTGCTGCTTTAACTGAATGGCAGAACAATCCTCAGTCTCGGACCAAAGCTGATATCTTACACAAGAAGAAAGCGGCGGCCCAGCACGAACGTCGCAAAATAAAGAACGACTGGTTTAAAAATAAAGCATGTGAAAAGCAAATCTTGCAAATTAACACAAGATGCACAAATTTTCAATTCCACTAAAACATTTTATTGGCCAATCACTCTTGGCGCAGCCCCCCTTCGCTCATCCGACGGTAACTCCCTAATTAAAGATGAATAAGGTATCGGTCAGCGCTGGAAAAAGCACTACCATTCTCTGCTCAATAGAAACACCGATGTGGATATCCTGACTACCCAGCAGGTCCCTCAGCACCCAGAGATGACCCATCTTAGATATCCTACATCCCTGGATGAGATAGCTACTGCCATCAAACAGATGAAAAATAACAAAGCCTCGGGGCCTGATGGAATCCCAGCCGAGGTGTACAAAGCAGGAGGACCTCTGCTTACTAGCCGTCTTCACTCTCTCCTGGAGAATTATGAGAAAAGGAGGAAATCCCCAGGCTTTTAAATACGTCTCCATCGTCAATATTTATAAGAACAGGGGAGACCGGTCAGACTGTGGCAACTATCGCGGGATCTCGCTACTGTTCGTAGCTGGGAAGATTATCGCCCGTGTCCTCCTTAACAGGCTTCTACCTGAGGCGGAAAACTTCCTCCCAGAATCTCAATGTGGCTTTAGACTATCACGTGGCACCACTGGCATGATCTTTGCTCCCTGCCAGATACAGGAAAGGTGCAGAGAACAGTGTCATGACCTGTACATGGCCTTCGACTCAGTCAACAGGGAAGCCCTCTGGCGGACCCTCAGCCGTTTTGGCTGCCCACCAAAATTCATTGCCATTGTGAGGCAACTCCACGATGGCATGAACGGCAGTATCCTGCACAATAGTACCCAGTCTGAGTTTTTCCCCATCCAAACGGGGATAAAACAAGGAAGTATACTGGCACCAACTCTCTTTTCCATTTTCTTGGCTGTCTTCCTTACTTGTGCAAGTGCCAATTTAGCCAGCAGTCCAGTACAGGATGAAGGAGCTTTTCAACATAAGACGAATCCGGGCAGGAAAAAAGGTGTCGGCAGCTTCCATTACTAAACTTTAGTATACAGACGACCTCACCCTTGTCCATCCAGCTTAATGGTACTAACATCTCTAATCTTACCCACTTTCAGTATTTTGTTCTCACCTGTCCACCACCGCGGACATCGATGAAGAGATCCAACATCGGATCAGATGAGCATCTGAAGCCTTTGGTAGACTCCATACCCTTGTCTTCAGCTGTAAGAAGCTGAAATTATCTACAAAGTTGCATGTATATCAAGTAGTGGTCTCCCCCACCCTGCTATATGGCATTGAGACATGGGTCACATACAGGAGGCACCCCAAGGCACTTGAAAACTTTCACCAACGTAGTCTACATTCCATCCTCCGAGTTCGCTGGGAAGACAAGAGAACAAATGGCAGTATTCTCGTTGACACCAACTGTAGGAACATCGCGGCTACCATTATCCATGAACAACTACGTTGAACTGGCCATGTTACCCGTATGAACGACAGTAGACTGCCAAAGCAGCTACTTTACAGTCATCTAACGAATAGTAAACGTAACGCTGACGGGGAAATGAAAAGGTATAAGGATAGTCTAAAGACAAACATGAAAATGTGCCAATCACCCGGGAGACGATCACTCCACACCGTAACGCTTGGAGGAATACCACACGAGAAGGTGTCAATTCTTTCTAATTAAACCAACTGCAAACCTAGGCAGACAAGCACCAACGCCAAAAGACGCTGCCACCGCCCTCCCCGCACTAGATGGAGCCATCCACATGTGCAACATCTGTGAACGACCCTGCCGGTCCCATATCAGCCTCTTTTGTCGCCTTAAGACCCACCAACAAAGGTGACATCCTTAATAACTCATATCATTGTCTCATAGCTGGATGATCGTCTTGCTCGATTCCGAGTGACAGCAAAGTAGTATTAGTAGTAGTAGTAGTAGTAGTATGTGCGTGTGTGTGTGTGTGGTGCAGAAACTTCTCACCAAATTTGCAGATGAGATCGTCATGATGATCAGAGAAAGCCGAGAGGGTCAGTGTGTTGAGTGCTTTTTGATATGTGGAATCGGAGGGGGAGAGAATAATTTTGCATGCCCTATGCCCTCCTTTGCATCTTTTCTAGGTGTTTCCATTGTGTGGCATTTAGGGAGGCATAGGACTTGAGTTGGCGGAGGAGATGGAGACGAAAACTGGAAGATTTGCCAACTGTACGAACGTGTGTTTGCCAATTTAGTTTGTTATCTATAATGATGCCGAGGAGTTTAGGTGATGTGCATAACCTTGGTCTTGGTATGGTTGATGATGACGTGGTTGCGTGTATGTGTGTGTTAGTGTTATCGCTGACAGAGCTGTGTCTCCTGCAGGTTTCCTATGTCAACTGGGCTCCTGGACAACCAAACGGAGGAACTTCGGAGAACTGCGCCGTCATGAAAGGAGAAACGTTTGAGGTAAGTTTATTCATTTGTCATGCTTCTACATGTTTATTTCTGTGAATCACTTTAAGCAACATAATATTAAAAAAGAAACATGATGAGAGCATTTCACTGATAGAGGTCAGAGTTTGCTAGAAAACAACAACTTACTTCTTGGCTGTGTCCGTAGATTGGTGCCACTGGTTACTCTTAAGTTGTATACCTACACTGCTCCTTCACGTTCATCACGTTTATAACTTTTCATTATGTCTATCAAATAATTATAATGGAGTCATTTTGATAAAGAATCATTGTGGTGACTGAGTGAGATGAAGTGGGTCAATGGTGTAAAGTGCTGTTTTTGTAAAACTTTGTGCTGGACAAAGGTATAGTGGGTGGGTGTTTCTACAGGGTCAGTGGACGGACCAGTCATGCCGGAAGAGCTTCAAGGTGTGCACAATGTGTTCCATTCGGATCCCGGTCTTCCTCAGGTAAGTCTCCCAAGAGGCATTGTTGATGAACTTATTCCATAAGCAGGTGGAGTGTACAAGAGGCTTATATACATAGGGTGACCTCACAAAACACCACCATCACCGCAAACATGAGAGGATCTTATAAAAATTGGCGACGTAATTAGTCATGTTAAGTCAGGTCCAAAATATGAAACCCACTAATCATCTATCCTACATCTACCTCAAATGCTTTCAAAGCATTTTTAAGTTTGGGTCACTAACAAATAAATTAATGGATGGTAATGCAGTGAAAGGGCCCCTCAGAATAAGGAATCAGCACAAAAAAAAATTTATATATATACTTTTCGCATTTAAGGTGACCTGAACTGGTATTCCTGAGGTTGGGGTTAAAGAGACGCACGGGTAATGGTATGACACCAATATTATCAATATAGGGAAATATGCCACTGGTTGCTTTGTGAGCTCACACGACCCAATAATTCCTCAAGACCCATGCACGTCCCATTACACACCGGTTCATGTCCAGTTACATTACAGTTGCAGCATATACTTGCCCCCAGTGACCATGACTTCCCTTCCATACAGAAAAATTCGGTCAAATAAGAATGAGCCAAGGTGGATGACCAGAAAACTTAAACATGAGGAATTTATAAGAAATTAAAGGGAGGGGAGGAGCAGCTCAGAAATAGGTATAATGAACTATCTAGAAATGTTAAGAAAAATGTAAGGAAAGCAAAGAGAGACTATGAAGTCAAAATAGCAAGAGAATCCAAAGCGAATCCCAAGGGATTTTTCCTGATATATAGAACAAAAGTCAAGGACAAAGTTGGGCCTTTAAAGTCAGGGAGGGGAGAAGTGATAAATGGCAGTGAGAAATAAGCAAAGCATTGAACAACTACTTCTTATCAGTTTTCACAGAAGAAATTCGCGAGGAAATTCCAGAGGGGGAACTGATATTTAGGGGAAAGGAAGAAGAGAAATTAAAGAATATCACTATCAGAAAAGAAGATGTTCTTAAGAGGATAAATAAGCTAAAGAAGACAAAATCCCCAGGGCCGGATGAAATCTTCCCTCGAGTCTTGAAAGAGTGTAGGGAACAGATTAGCCGACCCCTTGCAAATTTATTTACAAAATCATTAGACACCGGAGTTGTGCCAGACTTGTGGAAACAGGCAAATGTATTACCCATATTCAAAAAGGGAGACAGAGCATCAGCGGCCGATCAGTTTGACGTCAGTAGTGGGAATTTTCTTGAATCAATTATAGCAGATAGTATTCGATCTCATCTAGAGAAAAGCAAATTAATCTACGACTCGCAACATGGGTTTACAAAGGGAAAATCTTGTCTAACAAATCTGCTGACGTTTTTTAGGAAAGTCTTCGAGGCAGTAGATAATGACAAAAACGATGTTATTTACTTAGACTTTAGCAAAGCATTTGACAGAGTACCGCATCAGAGGCTTCTGAGAAACATTAAGGCTCATGGTATCGAGGGGAAAGTCTTAAATTGGATGAAATCATGGCTCACCGATAGAATGCAGAGGGTCAGCGTAGATGGTGTCAAATCTGAGTGGGGCCGTGTAACCAGTGGGGTTCCCCAGGGGTCAGTACTAGGCCCACTCTTGTTCATAATCTACATAAACGATCTAGATACTGGGATCAGCAGTGACATAAGCAAGTTTGCGGATGACACCAAAATAGGGCGGTAGATTAATTCAGGGCAGGATGCAAATGCATTACAGGAGGACCTAAATAAACTGCAAGGGTGGTCTGAAAAAGGGCAAATGAAATTCAACACCAGCAAGTGCAGTGTACTTAATATTAGAAGAACAAATACTGTCAATGTATACAGCCTTAACAACATCAACCTAGTGAAGTCGACTTGTGAAAGAGACTTAGGGGTACTTGTAAGCCCGGACCTACGGCCTAGAAAACAGTGCGTTAATGAAATAAGGCAAACAGAGTGTTGGGTTTTATATCTAGAAGTGTAAGTAATAAGAGTGCAGAGGTCTTATTGCAACTATATCTTGCGTTAGTCAGGCCGCACCTCGATTATGTGGTTCAGTTCTGGTGCCCTTATTATAGAATGGATATCAATTCACTAGAGTCGGTGCAGCGAAGAATGACGAAAATGATTCCGGGACTTAGAAACCATCCATATCAGGATAGGTTAAAGAAACTTAACTTGCATTCCCTAGAAAGACGAAGAGTGCGGGGAGATATGATAGAAGTATTTAAGTGGGTGAAAGGAATCAATAAAGGGGATATAGATAAAATTCTTATAATATCCGAGCAGGATTGGACTCGGAGCAACGGATTTAAGTTGGATAAGTTTAGGTTTAGGAGGGAGATAGGAAGAAACTGGTTCACAAATAGGGTGGTGGACGAGTGGAACAAGCTTAGCAACTTTGTAGTAAGTGCTGGAACGCTGGAAAGTTTCAAAAGGAGGCTAGATAGATTCATGAATGATAGAGAGTGGTAGTAACTCTCGACAGGAGCTGCCATGCACAGGCCAACCGGCCTATGGCTGACTCCTTATTTTCTTATGTTCTTATGTAATATGGATGATATGACCTCACCGGCACAGGAATTGCTGACGTGAAGGGTCGTGCCACACTGGGATAAGCCCCACCCTCCTCCTGTTAAGAACATATGAACATAAGCATGGAGAAAACTGCAGCAGCCCTTTTGGCCCCTACTGAGTAATCCCATTTACACCCAACCTCTATCGCTCATATATCCACTCAACCTAAGTTTGAAGCTATCCAGCATATTCGAGTTAAAGGTGTTGTTTGGTAACTTGTTCCACTCGTCCACTACTCTATTTCCAAACCCATGTTTACCTATTTCGCGCCTAAATCCAAATTTGTCTAATTTAAAAACCATCGTTACGAGTTCGCTCTTGGTTGGATAGTTTGATTACCTTTGTAATGTCACCTTTGTTTAGCCCTGACTTCCATTTATACACCTCGATCATATCGCCCCTCACTCGACGTTTCTCGAGGGAGTGCAAATTAAGATGCTTTAAACTGTCTATACTCAAGGTTCCTAATGCCCTGGATTAGTCTTGTCATTCTCCTCTGAATTCTTTCTAGGGATTCTGTATCCATTCTGTAGTACGGCGACCAGAATTGAACTGCTTATTCCAGGGGTGGTCTCACAAGTGCAAGATATAGTTTTAGGGTGACCTCGCTAGTCATGTAACTAACACTCCTTTGTACGAACCCAAGTACTTTGTTAGCCTTGTTTCCAGCAAATACACATTGTTTACTTGGTTTAAGATTCCCACTTATCATTTCTCCTAAATCTTTTTCACAGTCGGATTTCTCTATAACATCGTTGTTCATCTGGTATCTGGTTTCTCTGTTTACATCTCCTAGACTAAGTACTTTACATTTCTCAACATTGAATTTCATCTGCCATTCTTCAGACCATTCGAAAAAAAAATTATGTCTGCCTGTAGTTTTGCGGAGTCCTCATCAGATTTAATTATTCGCCCTATTTTAGTGTCATCAGCAAATTTACTTATATTGCTGTCTACACCGATATTTATGTCGTTTATATATATAATAAATAATAATGACCTAAGTCCTAAGCCTTGGGGTACTCCACTAGTGACGTTTCTCCAATCGGGTTTAGTGCCGTTAATGCTCACTCGCTGTTTGCTGTCCTGTAACCACGCCCTAATACATTTTAAAATATTTCCTCCAATGCAATGAGCCTCCACTTTTTTATTAGTCTTTCGTGAGGGATTCTGTCGAAGGCCTTGCTAAAGTCAAGATATACCACATCATAGTCGTGCATATCGTCCACTGATTCGAAAACTGCTAAAAAAAATTAATTGGTTTATGTTGGGAATCAATGATCAACTTGTGCTTCTCCAGGTGATTTCGAATAGAGTTTGAAATGATTGAGTCCAGTGATTTCCCTACAATAGATGTTAAACTGATTGGACGGTAGTTAGAGGATAATGATGTATCTCCCTTCTTGAAAATCGGTATTACACTGGCTATCCTCCAGGATTCTGGTACTACACCTGTTTTTAAGGACATCCTAAACATCTTTGCTAATGGCATAATAAGCTTACATTCCTTTCATTCCTTTAATACTCTAGCAAATATCTCATCGGGACCTGGTGACTTATATGGCTTTAGCTTGTCAATTTGCTTACTAACATCGTTAGTCACAACTATCTCGCTTCAGCTATTTTCTTCACTATCTTTGTATATCGTCGGTGCCTCGGGTATCATGTTTAAATTTTCGGTGGAGAAAACTGTTGAAAAATATCTATTCAGATTATTGCTCATTTCTGCATCGTTATCAGTTAGCTCGCCGGTAACTGACTGCATTGGTCCAATCTTTTCTCGTGTTTTAGTTTGATACATTTGAGAAGGTTGGGTCATCTTACCCTCTGACCTGACTACCGACTGCTGCGGTGTTTTTTGAAGATTAGTAGGGTCACTACCTAATAACCTGACTATTGTGGACTTGGTCTCACCTTCCTCTACTGTAAATATATTTGCCTTGTTATGTATTTCTCCTTAGTCTGTACTCACCCCTGAAGATGTGAATTACACGAAAGCGCTTGGGAACTTCGTGTTTTCTTCTTTCCTTGTGGTTATCAGCATATATATATATATATATATATATATATATATATATATATATATATATATATATATATATATATATATATATATATATATATATATATATATATATATATATATATATATATTATTGTTATTTAACAAATAACTTTCAAGATTTAGAAAAGACGCGACACTAACGTGAGACAACGTTGTAGGACAGCGCTCATAGAAACATGCTGTTAGATACCATTAAAGAACACCCTGAAGGAACGACAGCTCTAGAACACCAGTAAGGGTGAACACTCATGGACTTCACTGTACGACAATTATGAGGGAAATATTTGTGGGATGTTGCTGTAGGACACCACTGAACTTCAGCAGTGACTGAAAGACACCATTATGTGAAACCACTCGGGTATCCCTCTG